TTTCTATTTGTACATATCCTTGAATAACTGGTAATATCCACCAAGTTGCTTTGTCTGTCTACAAAAATTAAATATTTTTTTCAATAAATATCTAATAAAAATAAATTTAAGTTTAAAAAAAAAAACTAACTTTCAAATTAATTATATCTTGCAACATATGTTTATTCCAAAAAAATCTATCATCCACTTTTTGCCAAAGTTGTTTATTTTGTTCTTCTTCATTATATTGTGATTCTGTGGCACAAAGCCTTTGCAGACTATTTGTGATATCACCAGTTTGACAGAAATAAAAGGAATCAGTTTCGGTGAAAATTTTATTTAATTCTTCTAAGATTCTTTTTTCAAATCTTTCCTTATCTTTAACAATGTTTCTCTTACTTACTGTAGATTTCACCTATAGATATTTTTATCAATATATAATTTTTTATATAATTAAAATTTTTATTTCTAATTAAATAAAGATAATTTACTTGAGATGTTGCAAGTGCAGCTGCCTGTTGAGTAGTATTTTTTATAGTGTTTGTAGCACTTTTAATAGTTCCCCATGTTTTGGCAAATGTTGCTTTTTGTGGCACATCAAATAGGCCACCTTGGCTTTTTTTCTTTGGCAAATTCTGATGCTTTTTGCATGGCAAAAGTCCAATATCATTATTTTCACTGCCAAAATGCAAAAATGCAATTGATTTAATTTTATATATAATATGACCTCCATATAATTCTCCAGCTGGTAAAACTTCCTTAATTAGCATTAAACGTGGTTCTAATACACATGGTTGTTCTATTTTTCCAACAATTCCATATAATATTCCAAGACATTCTAAATCTTTTGGAGAGGCCCATTCCCAATCTACAAAAAAATTGTAAGTAATAAAATTTTATTAAAATATTAATATAAAAAAATTTTAATCCAATATAACTTTGTGTTCTATTTAATTGTATTACTTAGACCACATGTCATATCTTTATATAATTTATAAACTGTAGCTATTGCAAAATCATGTGCAAACATTCATTTAAGATATATCCATATTTTCTATTATGTTAATAACGATAATTTAATTATGATTTAATTTAAAATTTTTGATTTTATCATGAGTATTATTACAAAATTGAAAATTTATAAATTAAAATTATATGAGTAATTAAGATTACGTGAAATTTTTTTGATTATGTTACAAAATTTGAAAAATTGAAGATGTTTTAAAAAGAACAATGAAACGAAAATTACAATGTATATCGTACTTGACACGAATGTATATACACTTCTGTCAAATTAGAACTGTGTACCCACCCGATTTAGCGGAAAACTCTCCTGTGTACTTGTCACACCATAGACTATGTCTTTCTTTTACGAAAATGAAATGCGTATCGGTACGGAACAATTCCATGCTTCCGTCTTTTCCACTGTATAATAGTTTTTACGCAGCATGTGGAACGTCAATCTCCGAAAATCTGCCTATGATAGGCACTTCGCCATCTTGCTCGTATATAAGACTAACAACGGGTTCGTAATATACAATATACATAATACTACATTACATTTTAGAGTGACAAAAAATAGATGGCGATCGGATAGAGAATTAATAACATATAATATATTTTTAAATCTTTAAATGACAAAAATTAATGATTCAAGCTTATAAAATTTGTTACATTATAATTTATAATTAATAGCATTAAAGTGATTTTGTATTTTTCAAATACACTTTATAAATTTTATAAAATATTAATATTTTATTTAAATTTTTTTGTAATATTTTTATGTTATAATAAAAAAAAAAAAAAAAGAAAAAAAATAATAAGCATATCATTATTTGAAATACACAAGATTTATTTATGTAATCAATGATTACATTTTATATATGTCTCACAATAACTGATAAGTACATTATAAATACAAAGAAGCGTGTGAAAATATGCGCATAACGATTAAACGTTATTATTATTAATATCGTCGTATATAGTTCATGGAAGAATATTTAAAAGATATCCTTTCTATACAAGTTTTTTCTTCCGAATAAATTTAAATAATTGCCGATAAATTCACAAAATTCAATAGATTTACTTAAAATGTATCCTCTTGAGTAATAAAAAAAATTCATAAAATTTAACGAACATTTAACATTCTCAAAAACAAAAAAAAAGATTTACTCATTCCTTCCTTCATTTTCTTCCATATTTCTTTTTTCTTCTTTGGTTTTGTCAATTATATATTCTTGCCATTTCCTATGATTAAGAGTCTGAAAGTCATCCACTTTTGCTATCAGTGTTAAATATTGAGATAATTTTAACAATTCCCTGTCTTTCCTTCTAGTAATATATGCATGCCTAAATGGTTTTATCTTTAATCCTGATTGTGGATTCATGATAAAGTTTCTTCTATTATCATCAAACATTATTGTGTTTTTTGCAGAAAATTGTTTATATTTTCCCCAAATAACAGCAAGTGGTTTTGCTGTGATAGTACCATATTTTGATGTTTGAACATTAATCATAAAATTTGCATCAAGATGACATGCTATCTTATAATAAGGATTATTTGAAACTCCAAGCACTTTCATCTTTTTATTGATCCATTCCATATTAGTTGCTGACCAAATTACTATATCATAATTTTGATAAGCCATAATTAAAAAATAATGAAGAAAGGGACGCATTAATTCCCCACCACCACCTTGCAGAACCATTGCTGAATTGTGATCAAAAATGGTGTAATCTATATCGAGCACCAGTAGTTTCTTTCCTTCTCTGAATGGATTTAATTCTACAAACCTGTAGTAGTCGATTCTAAATTGAATTTGAAATAAACACATCTTAACATTCTCTATATCCAACTTTTCCTCTTCAGTCTGAAAGTCATTAATTACATCAGGTAAGTCTTTTGGAGCATGACATACTTTAGCAATATCCTCTTCACGAGATCCCATCAGCCTTATTTTGAACCCAGATTTCATGCCCAAGTTCCTTAAGATTTCCTCATCTTGAGATGTTTTATTTGGTAAACAGACACTTGACGGACTTTTAAATGGTTTCAAACATGTGAAATCTAATAGAACAGAAGGATAGTTTGAAATCAAAATAGAAATCATTTAAATGAATTTTATTTTAATATTAACAATGTATCATTATAATATTAACATATGATTATATGGGGAAAAATAAAAGGAGAAAAGGTCATGAAACAGTTCAAAACATAACCTTTGGTTCGAAGGTTTAAAAGTTTTTGATGTTTTGGAAGAATGCCAGTTTCCTTGTGTATTCGTATTTTCAAACCGCGAACGGTATCGTCCAGATTCACATCCGGAATTTCGATTTTTTTTCTGCCCCATACTATTATGATCTTTCCTACATTTTCCATTTTTTCGAATATAATGACGCGACACCAAACGATGTGTAAGTACTGCGAAGTACTTACTCGATACAATTCCCTTAGATATATATGTATATAAAGACCATCGTAGAATATACTACATACATTGTAAATACCTTTGTGTCGATACCATATCATGAAATTTATTCTCCACATAGATGGCGTTTCAATAGTATAATATAGCAACATTTATGATTATTTGTTATCCTGCCGATAAATGTCTTTTAGGAATTTTACGAAATTAATATAATGTATTAAAAAATAAACACATTTCTATTTATTAATTGAATATATATATGAATATTATGTGATTATAATGGAAACTATTATATCAAATTTTGAAGATTGAAGAAAAAATAATTTAAGATTTAAAAAATTTTTAAATGTTAAATATCAAATTAAATTTAAATATAAATTTGAAATTAAATCAATAATGGCATAAATTAAATTAAAAATAAATATTAAAATTGAAAAATTATAAGATTATTAAATATGAATATAAAAAAATTAGAATTTATATTATAAAATAAATAACAAATGTTAATGCATACGAGCATTAAATATTCATGATCATTTTTTTTTTAAACTTTTAGTATATTTAAAAAATAATTCAGTCTTCTAATTTAACAAAGCAAGTTTCTTTTTGTAGATAACATAATAATGTAACACAAGCGATACAGAATAAACTTAATTCAATGCATTTTTTGTCTCGTATTTCAAGAGCATTAAGATCCTTCTAAGATTTTACCATTATTCTTAACGTTATTGATTCAGAATAAAAAATTGCAACATTAATTCGATAGTACAACAATAATTCGATAGTAATTAATAACTGAACAATTAAGAAATGTTTTACAATCGAAAGAATAAATTTAATAAATTAATCTTAGATAATTCGATCATTTTTAATGCTTTCAAAGAATGCTTAAAAATTCTTTTCTATTTTCTTTACTGTTTTTTATTTGTTTAAATATTACTTATTAGTAGCTAGCGTATTATCAAAAATAATTATATTATATATATTTTTACATCACATTTCACAAGATCTTAAAAATATATTATAAAACCGAGGATATAATATAAATATTTTTTATTTATTTAAAATTGTATTTAAATTAAATATTGAAATACATTGTAGTTTTCTGAAAAAGAAATCATTAAAGTATATTCAATTAATATTCCATGTTGTTACATGTCATAAACAAATTTAGATAAGGAGAATAATAAAAAAAGAATAGATATAAGATAAGAATTGATAATTACTACCATCTTTTGATTTTATCTGGAAATATGTTTTTGACATTAAAAGATTATGTCGATAAGATTATGTATATTGTATCGATCGTATAAAATTTTGTCGGTAAACTAGAAATGATTATTTTTATTAAAAATATATAAATAATTTTAATATTCTCAAGATAATTAATTAATTTTTATTAGTTTAATAATTTATAAATTTATAATTCATTAAATTTATTAATTTTATGTGTAATTTATTATTTTTATTTTCTTTAATTTTTATATTTCGATTTTTTTGAATTTTTTACTTTTTTGCAATATTTATTAATTTAATATATAATTTAATATAATTTATTGTATTTTAAAAAGATACAATAAACTTGTATCTTGTCTATAACCTCCAAATTTTTGACATGCAATTATTCATTGCCTTAATGATAATTTATATATAAAACGTAAATTTTTTTTTAATTATAAAAGAATATGGACAAAAATAAAGATATTATTGTATGTGTACCAGGTAATTATATTTTTAAAATAAAAAAAAAGTAAACAGAATAATTAGAAAAAAATCATATTTTTTTGTAGGACAAAGGTTATGTATTTCTGACAAAGTTAATATTGCTGGACCAGGAACTTATGAACAACAAGGCTATATTTACTCGAAATTAGCTGGTTTAGTAAAATTAGTAGAAAAAGAAAATGTAAGGAAGAAGAAATAAATAAAATATATTATTTAACATTATTAATATCATGTATATGAATTATACAATATATTTTGAATTTTAGACTCGAACTGTTGAAGTCCATGGAATAACAGAACAAAGTATTGTTCCTGCACCTGGTGATATTGTAACAGCTATGGTTACTATTGTTAATCAGAGATTTTGCAAATGTAGTATAAAATGTATAGGTGATATTGTATTGACAAGACCTTATAGAGGTATTTTAAGGAAAGAAGATGTACGAGCAATAGATAAAGATAATATTCAAATGTACAAGTGCTTCAGACCTGGAGATATTATTCTTGCTAGAGTTGTATCCTTGACTTTTTTTTGTTATAAAAAAATATGTTATTAAAATATATTAATAAAAATATAAATTTTGAATTATGTAATTTCCTATACATTCATTAGATGCCAATGACAGAAGGACATACTTATCAATTAAGTACAGCAGAAAATGAACTAGGTGTAGTGATAGCACATAGTGAAGAAGGTAAATTATTAAAGATAATATTATTTTTTTTATTAATAATTGATAATTCTTATGTTACAGGTGTAGCTATGATACCCATTAATTGGACACAAATGCAATGTCCTAAAACATTACGAAAAGAGTTCAGAAAAGTAGCAAAAGTAATTCCAGAGCATGTTATTGCAGATCAATAATTTAATATTAATATTTTTTTTTATATCTATTCATTTGAAAAAAAGACAAAATAAAATATCGATTATATTATATATATGTATATATATGTATATTTTCTATATATGCATATATTTTTTTCACAATTCATAATTCATTTTATTCATAATTTAATTTAATCATTACATTTATATTTTAATAAATTGTTAGACGCATAAATAAAGAATAAAAATTTAGAAGTTGCAAAATTATTAGGATTATTATTTAAAAAATTGAAATTGAATATTTGAAATGGTTTCTTCATCTATGCAATTAATTTTGATAATATAATTTATATACAATGTGTACAGTTTATCTGGAAATATGTAGATATTTCGAAAAATATGAATATTATAAATTTAATAAAAGTAGTATCAAACTTCTTGGCAAATTTTTCATTATGTATTTAATTTTTTTATGAATAAATAGTTAAACATAACATAACAGTAAAACATTTAGGAAAAAACAATTTTAACAATTTAAAGATAATTTGTCAAGAAATAGTCTTCTAAGTAATCTGTAATATGTCATTTATTATCAAATAATGTAATAAAAATATAAAACTAAAAAAATATAAAAACAATATAAATGTATAACATAAATTATTGTAATAATTTAAAAAAGAACTAATTTATATTTATTTAATTAATATTAATTCAGTTATAAAATTTAAATTTCAATATAATTTTAATTAATTTTTGTTTTTGTTTTATTTTTAAAAATATTTCTCCTTTTGAAGAAAGCAAAAATGAATCAAATTAATAAGTAATCGTGTTAATAAGAATCGTGATTAGATTTTAATGGTGACTTTGATTTGATAAATAGCAAAATATAAGTCTGAAAATATAAATTAAAAAAATTGTTAAATCTAATATTATTAGATTTCTATAATGAAATTTTACAAAGGTATGATAATTACATAAGAAGAAAACATTGTTATAATTAATTATAAAATATATAAAATTTATTAAAAATTAATATAAAAATTATTTAAATTAGAAGAAAAATTATCTAAAACATAAGACTAAATATTTAAAATAAAAATTGATCAAATCTAAAAAGAATATAATATAAGACAAAAATCAACATAAAATATATTTAAATTAAACAATATAAATATATAACAATTATAATTAAACAATTATAATATATATTATATAATATTTCAATTTTTGTGTGCTAATTTGAATAGAGAAATTTATAACCAATCGGAAACCATTAAAATGTAGCGGCGAAACGAATCTATGCGCATGATTATGCGCATCATAGTACGCACTTTAGTGCGCATAGCATTAGTTACAGTTGAAAATTATAGTGACAGACTGTGTTTCAACGATAGAAGTGCGTAATTATATAAAATTTTTAGTAATAAAATGTTGTATTACGGTTATTAAGCTTAATTATAAATTATTAAGCCTTGTGTAATTAATATGTGTCTGTTTAATCATTATTATACCAGATTTGATTGTTTTTGTGACAAATTATCATTTGATTAAAGTCGGGATAGTTTCGAAGGCGGGAAAAGTTTTCAAAATAACAGTTTCTACGTAGTACAGTTTTTACAACATGATGATTCAAAATAATCCGATGATTTTCGTGTAAATGTGATAAGATTTTATTTTATTTTAACAAAAAAATAGTTATAAATTTTTTTTTCTCTTTATTCATCAGAATAGTTAGATCAATTTATACATATTTCTTTCTTCAATATATCTATTATGTTTATTACGTTAACGTATAACGTATAACGTTATTTCTGTATTTGTTTTTATTTTACTCTCAAAGACCGAAGGCTGAACGTATTTCTTATAATCTCTTTCCAGGAAATGGATGATTTGTTTTTGTACGACGCTCGACATTTCGATTTGTCGAATTGTTTGTCGAAATGTAAGCATATCCCCTCTCCAATTTGTAATTCAATACATCGAAATTGCTATGCGAGATGTCATTCCGTTGTCGAAGCTTGTGAAAATTAGACGCTTTGTTTCAGGTGCGTAACCAATCTATTTTATTTAACAATTATTTTTTTATTTTTTATATTAATATTTCATTAATATAATGAATTTGTTCAAAGTAATATTTATTAAATATTAAAATAATTGAAAATTTTTTAAAGAGTAATTTTTTTTTTTTTTTGACCAATTTGATATTTGATTATTAAAATTACTCGTATTATGAATTCTAAAATAAGATTTAAGTTATTAGTTTTATTTTAATATGATTAATTTAATCTTATTATCTTACATTTTATATATTTATTTTAAAGATTTAACTTTTTCTGCACAGAAAAATAACTGATTGCTAAAATTACTTTAGGCGGGAAAAAATATTTTCAATATGGACGCCATGATGAAATCATATTTTATGGAGGAGAGGTAAAATTTAAATTTTTATGCAAAAAAGAGAAAATCTCTGTGTAGAAGAAAAATATATTTTTTTATAAATATGTAATTTTTTTTTATTAGCTATATGTATATAGTTTTTATGTAATTCATAATTCTTTTAAAAGTAATAATATCTTTTTTAACAAATGCGATAGAAAAAAAAAGAAAAAAATATGAAAGCATATTTTATTTCTTTTTCTACATTTTTCCTTCTTTCATTAATGCAATTTTATTTCCATAGTTATTATGACTGCGTGCAATGCAGTCGATAGAATCAGTGTTTGCTTCGTAATAGTATTTTTTAAGTATTTTTTTAGAGTGTAGTAACTTTAAGAATAAATAAATTTAATTATAATCATACGCGAAATTAGAGTCAGTGTTTATTTGTTAATTATATATAAATTGACGTGTTAATAGTTTTTTATTTTTATTTTTTTATTTTAAATATTTTTTGATATTGAGTAAAATCAGTGTTTCTCTCAAGAGAATAAGGCGATCATTCATGCATGAAAAGGTAATTATCCTTTTTTTATCTAAATTTTTATTTTTCTATTAAAAAATAAAGCTATTAGAGAATTTCAATTTTCAATTTTAAGTTTTTATTCGAAGATTTCAATATTTATTATTATTATATCTTATTAGAATTTCAATCTTTATTATCAGTATATTTCAATATAGTCAGTAAATTATAATGTTCCATTTTTTTTTTTTGTTATAGATGTTTCTCAGTTCACAATAACTTTTTATGGACCACGATAGTATTCATGACAATGCAGATTCTTCGCATTTAATGGTGAGTCGCATGCATTTTGATTCCTCCAGTCACTCAATCATGTCATAGGATAAAAAATCCATATCGACACGAGTGATTGGTTGTATACGTAGAATTTTGTACGAGCACAGTGACCACGGATATTTATTATATCTGTGAATAGTAACATTTTCCTTTTCTGTATTTTATTTATTTAATTCAGGCTAGGTCTTCTTGTACGTTAATTTTTTAAATATTAGTAATTTTTTAAGTTTAATTATTTAAAGTTAAATTGATCTATTATTCATATAGATTAATATGAATATTTGCAAACATCCAATATATGTATAAATATTTGTGTATAAATTAAACGCGAATATTCAAATAAATAATAAATAATGTGAAGATAAATTATTTTTAATTTCATTTTTTCTTTCATATTAATATTTTAAACGATTTAATTTGTCTGTAAATATATTAAATATTATGTGCAAGAAGACACCTCGCGACAGATAGATTTTGAAATCAAAGCTACAAGTTTTGAATACTTGCTCTTTTATATTATTTTCAAAAATTTGCTTTGATAAAGGAATCGTCTGAGGATATTTTTATTAATATTTAATTTTAAATTAATTATTTAATTGAATTGAATTATTACATTACTTTTTTAACGAATATATTTCCTTTCCTTTTAATTAGTAATTCCTTTTATAAAATATTAAAATTTTAATAATTTATTATATTGATAAAAAGTATAAAGTAGAGTCATTAAAATTTGAGATATGAGATTATACAAAATTATTAGCCCGTTAAATATTTATGCTAATTTTTTTTAGCTTAGGATTTTCAGGTTTAATCCCTTCCATGCCCATTGCCAGAATTTCACTCAAGTGCCCAGGCGTTACTTGAGTGAAAGAAAGGTGGCGGGCATGATGAGCTTAGTTTATAAGTTTATCAAAATTTCTCAGCGACTGACGATGCGTTAGTGTATCGTGCACGATGTATTTTCCACATTGTGTGTGTGGTTAGGCTGTGGAAATGCGTCGTTTTAACTATTAATAATTATTAATTCAATTACAATTTATAATAACAATATCACATCACGTTATATATTGTAGATTAAAAATAGTAGTGCAAGATTAACAATTAACTTTACTCTCAAATTATATAAATAATAATACTTTTATCTTTAATCTTTAATACGTTTATCTATTTCAATATGATTTTTTTTAAAGACATATTTTTTTCGATTATATAAATATTTACATAATTTTGTTGCTTTTTACGCAATGGTCGCTAGCCTTCGTCAGTCGATTTCAGGAAAATGGTACGTAAAGTTAGAGTGTGCGAGTAGTGTGCCAAGCTCGGGTGTCGGAGGCGTCCCGGGACGTTTTCCCTAGTGTAGGCTTTTGCGCCCGAGTATTATGCGTGAGAATCGTGGAATGAATGTGTTGGTATGCCTGTTTTGCCATTTTTTTAAATATAGGGTTAGGTAGGATAGGTAGTATACTTCTGATGTGTCTGTTTAATTATAAGTAGGTAGGGCCGGGCAGGTTGTCACAGTCTCTGATCGGGTAGGCGCGTTTTTCGCGTGACAACCTGTTTCTGGAAATATAATTTGAAAAATCGAGAGCGAGATTGATACGAATGATCATCGATGGCCATTAATTTCTGGTTTTGCTTCTCGATTTTTCGAATTTCGCGGTCGCGGTCGCGAGGTTGATTTCGAAACGAACGTTGCGCTCGAGATTCTGCGCATGCGTGCATATGCACTTAACTTTCGCGATTTAATTTTTTTTTTATTTCTTTTCTTTTTTTTTTTTTTTTTTACGATTAGTGAATCTCGAGCCTAGATTTAAGTTTCAGCGGGCATTGCGCTCGAAGGAGGAAGACCGAAGAGGCCTCGACAAATTGTCGCGAAGAGGGGCTGCAACGAATGGCATCTCATCTTTTGGATCTTGTC